GCGGGCTACATGACCCAGCCAACGCAGCCTTGCCTGCCGGAGGAGCTCACTGATGGACTTTGCCCAGATCTTTCAAGGATTTGCGAGCTCCTCACACAATCCAGCCTGATTAAACCCAGGATGGATCGTAGGCAGGCCAGCCTGAATGTTTCTAACCGGCGAAGATGTTCCATTAGGGGGGTTCACAAGCGTAGAGACGGGAGGTAATGACTGTGGTCGAGAAGACCTGAAGCTTCGTGTGGAGTGAGAGACCAGGTAGCTTCCACACAGTGTTGCGCAACCGATAAAGAGATAATGCCGCTCGACTGATTCGGAGTGAGACCTCTGCTGTTAAACCGGAGCCGGTCATGAGCACACTTCATCGGGGTTTAAGTCACGTCGTTGATAGTTTCCTTGTCTCTACAACGCGCCAAACGAAATGGAAAAAAAATCATCTCAAATGATTAAACACTGACTCGCTGTATACATGGGAGCCCGGTTCTAATCACGACCCAGTCAGTGCACAACTATGGGTCTCTGCGTTGTAGTATACGCGAATCTGCGGGTCGCCGTACGAGTCTACGGGTCGCTATGTGGGTCTATGGGGTCGCTGTGTGGGTCTATGGGGTCGCTATGTGGGTCTATGGGGTCGCTGTGTGGGTCTATGGGGTCGCTGTGTGGGTCTATGGGGTCGCTATGTGGGTCTATGGGATTGCTATGTGGGTCTATGGGCTCGCTGTGTGGGTCTATGGGGTCGCTGTGTGGGTCTATGGGGTCGCTGTGTGGGTCTATGGGGTCGCTGTGTGGGTCTATGGGGTCGCTATGTGGGTCTATGGGGTCGCTGTGTGGGTCTATGGGGTCGCTGTGTGGGTCTATGGGGTCGCTATGTGGGTCTATGGGATTGCTATGTGGGTCTATGGGCTCGCTGTGTGGGTCTATGGGGTCGCTGTGTGGGTCTATGGGGTCGCTGTGTGGGTCTATGGGCTCGCTGTGTGGGTCTATGGGGTCGCTGTGTGGGTCTATGGGGTCGCTGTGTGGGTCTATGGGGTCGCTGTGTGGGTCTATGGGGTCGCTGTGTGGGTCTATGGGGTCGCTGTGTGGGTCTATGGGGTCGCTATGTGGGTCTATGGGATTGCTATGTGGGTCTATGGGGTCGCTGTGTGGGTCTATGGTGTCGCTGCGTGGCTCGGTGGGGGTCTCTATGTGAGTCACCGAAGACCGTGCCGAGACCATCACCTCATCGCTGTTCACTCCGCTTGAGAAACCGGTTTAATCACGGGGGGGGGGGGGGGGCATAATAACGGACGAGGGGGGGGGGCAGGACTGAACCCGCAGTTTACACTGCTGGTGTAGTTTATTGCGTCCGACATGGCCATTATGAACCCCCACCTCCACCACCACCACCCCAACTCCACCACCCCCACCACCACCTCCACCACCACCACCACCCCCACGATCACCACCACCTCCACCACCACCACCTCCACTACCACCACCCCCACCACCACCTCCACTACCACCACCCCCACCACCACCTCCACTACCACCACCCCCACCACCACCTCCACTACCACCACCCTCACCACCACCTCCACCACCACCACCCCCATCAGCTCCCGCTGAGTCACCACCGGGCGACCTCGAGAGACACACCGAGAGAGAGACACAGAGACACAGACAGAGAGAAACAGAGAGAGAGACACACACAGAGAGAGACAGAGACACAGAGAGACACAGAGACACAGAGTGAGAGACACAGACAGAGAGACACACACAGAGAGAGAGACACACACAGAGAGCGACACACACACACAGAGACACACACACACAGAGACACACACAGAGAGAGACACACACACGGACACACACACACACACACAGAGAGAGACAGACAGAGACACACACACAGTGAAACACACACACAGAGACACACACAGACACACACACACAGAGACACACACACAGTGAAACACACACACAGAGACACACACAGAGACACACACACAGAGACACACACACAGAGACACACACAGACACACACACACAGAGACACACACACAGTGAAACAAACACACAGAAACACACACAGACACACACAGAGTGAAACACACACACACAGAGACACACACACAGAGAGAAACACACACACAGAGACACACACAGAGACATACACAGAGAGAGAGAGAGAGACCCTCTATAATAGAGTCGCATGCGAGTCCGCGACTCATTAACGCGTCACCCTCGTGCGCTCCGCGGTCTCGACGAGTTGACGGCCACAGTTCTCCAGCCCGCATCTGGTTCGCATTCCCCCCTCCCTCTCCCTCCCTCCCTCTCCCTCCCTCCCTCGCGCGCGCGCCTTTAATTGGAGGGGGGGGGGGTGCCGTTTTTTTGTTGAATGGCGAAGAGGGAAATAAATAAATAAATAATACACAATGTATACGGGGGTTGGCGGGGGGAGAAGCCAACCTGGGGGTCTCTTTCTGTTGTTGTTCTTGCTGCTCTTAGTTGAAAAGACTCCCTGTGCCCAGAGTTGGGGGGGCGAGGAGGGAGGCGAGGGGGGGCGAGGGGGGGGGGAGGCCAGGGGGTGGGCGAGGGGGGGGCGAGAAGGGGGGCGAGGAGGGGGGCAGGGGGGGGCGACTGGTGGTGGGAATTGATTTCATATGCGAACAGCGCCCTTGACGTGAGAGTTTACTCCGCCGGTTTGTGTGTGTGTGTGGTGGTTTCTTTCATTTCATTTTGGGTTTTGGAATATATTTCCCTCCCCCCCTCTCCTCCTCCTCCTTCGCCCTCTCCGCCTCATCCTCCTGCCAATTATAATTGATTCATATCCAGATCCGTTCCCATTGTTAGCCGACCACGTGGCCCCATCGGCAGAGACAGAGACAGCAAGTCATCGCGGGGTTGCGACTTGAAATATCGACTGTAGATTCACTCATCCCATCATTACCCATCGTGGGGAAGGTAGCGACAGCTCAGACGACGAGCCGGCGCCAACGATTGCCCAAGCTCTGCGATCCTCTATATATGACGGTGTTATCGGCCGATCAATGAGCACTTGTATATGTGAGATGCAATCGGAGCACGCGGAAACCACCCACGCGTGCGAGGGGGAAACACTCAATTCCATGCCGATGGAACAGGTGGAGTTCACATTTGTTTTGTTGTTGCTACAGCCTTCTCCCGGCGAGCCAAGGTACGGCAGCTGCTCGACGCCCATGGGAAGGAAGTTTCACGTCATCTGCGTGTGTGTGGTGATCCGCCAACCCTCCTCGCAGCCGCCGTCTGGGTTACGGGCAGCCGCGTGTATAGCCACCACCACCTGGTGTCGTGGCATGACATCTCAAACCGTCCCCAAGGGGACCCACCCTCCTCCCAGTGACAGTCGTCCAGACGCGGCGCAAGGGATGCACGTGGCACCGATCTGCCAATGGGCGCTACGTCTGCCAGGAACCGAAGGTTAATGAAGCAAATTGTCCAAAGCAAGGGGAAGAGAGAGAGAGAGAGAGCGAGGAGGCGGGTGGGTGCAGGCAGGCCCGGCCTGCGTGGGGACATTTCAAATGTGTTCTTGGTTCTTTCGGTAAAGTCACGTAGAAGGGAAGTAATAAAATAATAAAAATAAAACATAAAAAAATTATTCTCACGACGTTTCGGCCACAACGCAAGCAGCCGTCCTCAACGCAAGCAACCTGAGGACGGCTGCTTGCGTTGTGGCCGAAACGTCGTGAGAATAATTTTATTATGTTTTATTTTTTATTATTTTATTACTTCCCTTCTACGTGACTTTACTGAAAGAACCAAGAAGATGAATCCCTGCAGTCACGAAAGCTTCAAATCGAAATTTCAAATGCGATCAGAGTCAAAAGTAAACCGATATGTTTTGGTTAGAATATTTTATTACCTCTAGACGTGTACCCTCTATTGCTTGTTTACGCTCTCAGTTGCCACTGAGTCCAATTTTCGGCAGCCCCAAAGAATATTCCTCACCGGCCCATTTGTTTTATTTGGACCCAGCCCAAATGGGCCAATGAGATTATACGGCAATTTGGGCTCGGCTTGTTTACAAATGTCTGGGCCGATTTTTTTTTGTCCCAGTCCTCCACTGGGTGGGTGCAGGTGCATGCGAGGGCTATTGAGGGTCACATCGCCTAGCCGTAACGCGTTTACCATGCGTTGGCAGAGATTCGTGGTTCGAGCCCCGCGTCCGCCCTGGTTAATACTGCGGGTGCATTAACCATAAACAAATGCGCGTCGTCTGCTTCAAACCGTCGTGGGCACGTAACAGATCACCTGACGTTATTCGATGATAATGAGCAATAATGATTTACATTTGTAAAGTAGCGAATTTCATCCGTAGATCCCACTGATGTCGCCCCGTTTACAGAACCTGCAGGGCACGTGACCTGAACTCGGCGAGGGGGGGGGGGGGTTAAAGGCCGATTTACAGAGTTGAGTTCTCAAGACGGAACTGAAATGCCATTGGAACCTCATTTGCCAGTAAACAATATAATTGGTTTTTTACCCTTCTATCTGACAACTGGCGTCATCTGGTCCAACCCATGTGAGACTAGGCTCTAAGGAAAGCTGTCTCGGGTGTGGACCAATCAACTTCAAGGACAGTGCATACAGAGTTATGTTTTTTGTTTGCATCATGACCGCAGGAACTGAAATGGTTCCAACTATTCAGATTGTGTGCCGGCGTCACGGTCTAATCTTTGTGAAATTTCAAAAGTTTACCCACAAAATGAGTTTGCTCAATCGGGATTCCATACAGCACGGCAGTTATGCCCCCCTCACCTCCTCCAGCCCCACCCCCCACCTCCTTCAGCCCCCCTCCTCCTCCAGCCCCCCCACTCCTCCACCAGGCCCCCCTCCCTCTAGCCCCCCCCCCCCCTCCTACTCTGAAACGACTTAGCAGGCTGTCGGGGAAAGACCACGTGAATACCTAAATGCGATCTCCAATACAGTACGCATATACTGTATGTTGACGTAAGAAATCGATTCACACAGTTACGCACGAGATAATTTGATGATAAAAAATCACGTGTGTTTATTGTCGTTTTTCTTACATGTTTAATAGTGTTTATTACAAAGCGCGCGCACGCCCACACACACACAAAATCACCGCCGGCAAACATTATAAACCGGCAGCTGTACTTTCACATCGTGATAAAGTGCACACCACTTACTCTTTCGTTTAACAACGCGAGGAATTTGTCCCCCAGAATAATAGCAATTATTATCATTAGATTCGAATTACATTTCTCGTAAAGAATATACGTATTGCCTTAGTAGCGGATCAAAGGTTACATGCCGTACATACAATTAAAACACTGATTGGTATTTTTACTGGAATACCTTTGCACATATACGTAGGTAATGAATACTGTCTCCCAATGGATCACTTGGGATAAAAATAATTATTATAATTATTAGAACAATGTTCATAATACGATATCGGTAGTTATTATACGCAGGGATTAACATCATCGGGGTGTGGGACACGCGACAAAACAACACATTTCTGAACCCGGCACACCACATCGAGTATAGCTCTCGCTCGTGACTGCTGATTGCTACTACTGCGACTAACCCTCACGTGCCACGGACAAGAACAAATAGATAGACGGCGAGTGAGCAATGGGTCGCGGGGTTCGACTCGGTGAGAATTAGGAGATAACATGACCCACAGGCGGCATTGCCGGTAAAACAGATCGATGTCTTTATAGACTATAAATACGAATTACGCATGCACATGATGGGTATAGAAAAACATTGGAAGGTTGCTTATACTTGAAGCACATTTAAAAAAATATTTATATAACGGCTGCTGAGCATTGGGGTACGAAGGCTGGAAACTCCATGCGGCCAGCAACAATCAGCACTATGATAGTTTGCAATGATAGGAGTGCGTGGAGAGGCGGTGATGCTGGGAGGGAAGTCCGAAGTGAAACGCTTCCAGGGAAGGAAGCGACAGGGAGATAAGTGTTGTGACCTGCTAGTGTGGTGGGCGGGTGAGTGAGTGGGTGGGTGGGTAAATGAGTGGGTTGGTGAGTGAGTGGGTGGATGAGTAGGTGGGTGGATGAGTGGGTGGGTGGGTGAGTGGATGGGTGAGTGGATGAGTGAGTGGGTGGGTGGATGAGTGGGTTGGTGAGTGAGTGGTGGATTAATAGGTGGGTGGATGAGTGGGTGGGTGGGTGGGTGAGTGGATGGGTGAGTGAGTGGGTGAGTGAGTGGGTGGATGAGTGAGTGAGTGGGTGGATGAGTGAGTGGGTGGATAAGTGGGTGGGGGAGAGGATCAGTGAGTGGATGAGTTGGTGAGTGAGTGGGTGAGTGAATGAGTGAGTCGGTGGATGAGTGGGTGGGTGAGTGGATGAGTGAATGGGTGGGTGGGTTGGTGAGTGAGTGGGTGGGTGGGTGGATGAGTGGGTGGGTGGATGAGTGGGTGGGTGAATGAGTGAATGGATGAGTGAGTGGGTGGAAAAGTGAATGAGTGGGTTGGTGAGTGAGTGGGTGGATGAGTAGGTGGGTGGATGAGTGGGTGGGTGAGTGGATGAGTGGGTGGGTGGGTTGGTGAGTGAGTGGGTGAATGAGTGAATGGGTGGATGAGTGGGTGGTTGAGTGGATGAGTGAATGGGTGGGTGGGTGGGTTGGTGAGTGAGTGGGTGAATGAGTGGATGAGTGAGTGTATTGTTGAGACCTGGCAGTGATGGTGGCTGAACGCACTGTAGATGAGACGACACGAACTTGGTTGAGATCTCGGGCGAAATCAACGCAGGATAAAGGAACGCTTACACGAAACATTACGTCTAAAATTTCGCCGAGATCAGATCACGTGAATATGTAACAATACAAGTAATGTATAATCCCTTCCATCAACACACTGCTGGATGAGGGGCCTACCCCACGCCATATGGCGGTTGTTTTCACCATACTTCGCCACGCTGGTCCGTGAGGGTTCATCAAGGCCAGGTGCATATATGCGGGGACATAGAAGTACAGTACTGCAATTGGTTTTCCTGCACTGCCATCTGCTGACCACAGCAGCCTACAGCTTTGTGTTGTTGGTGGTCGCTCATGTTCACACTATCCAGGCTCAACACCTGCTCAGCTTTCTGAGATTTGTCGAAATCGGTCGCGTGCCGTGGCTCATTGGTCAGTTGAAGGGGGCCTTCATTGTGAAGCTTGTGAAGCTCACCCACCTACTCACCCATCACCTACCTCGCCCACCTGCTGACCTACGTACTCACCCACGTACTCACCTACGAACCCACCTGCTCGCCAACACGCTGACGTACCTACTCACCCATCTACTCATCACCCCACCTACTCACCCATCTACTCCTCACCCCACCTACTCGCCCATCTACTCATCACCCCACCTACTCACCCATCTACTCCTCACCCCACCTACTCACCCATCTACTCCTCGCCCCACCTACTCACCCATCTACTCCTCACCCCACCTACTCACCCATCTACTCCTCACCCCACCTACTCGCCCACCTACCCACTCACCTGACCCCCCCATCACCCAGTATGTAATTGTGCAACTTGAATCCCACGTGACGTGTCACATTAAATCCCACGTGATGTCTGCACGACAGACAGATGATTCCAATTAGATGGCTGTCCTGGGACACCTCTCCCCCCCAAAAAAAAATATCCACACAATATATAATTGTCAGGATATGGTTGAGAATAGCAAAGATGAAGTGGCCGAAACGGGCGAGCGAATGATTCCGTTTTTCGTGCGACCGTTTGCGCAGAGAGGCGATTAATGGCAGATATAGATCGTAAATTGTAAAGTGTTTACAATGAATCGAGCGCGAGCAATCTCTTAAGAGAACAACATCGTCATCAACATCCTCCATTGTCTTATCCACTGCTGGATTAAATCCTTCCTCCCACCCCGGCACCGTATCTCACGGTCTGGTGCCGCTACCATTCGTCTCACTTCTGAGCGTGAACTGCAAATAAATATGTATAGTTGTGTAATCAAATAAGAAACGTGTGTATGCGATTAAACTATTTTGTGTGCGTTGGCGGTGGTGCACAAACACAATTAACAAACCCACGACGATCGTTGGCAACACTGTCGCCTTAAAATAATATGCATATAATTGGCGACGTTTCGGGCATTGATCCTTCAGCTTCTTTACATGGCCCGTTAGCCACCGCAGGAAAAGTCGACGGTTTGTATCTTTTACTGCCACGGTTGACGAGCTTGAGTTGTGTGCGTTTGATATATATAAAAATGCGGGCGTGGGTTATCAACTTGTTTCAAAGGGCACTCAACTCAAATGAGATCGAACGGGAGTGGGGGGGGGGGTCTCGTTTTGTATCTGAGCGGAAACGCGACTATTGGGTCTGATGATCTTCCTAATATGTTAACAATATCTATTCATCAGATTCGATTTTTATTATATTTCATCTATAAATTTTGTTTAGAATAAAATATGTTTTGGCCCAATGTATCTGTGTGTCTCTGTGTGGCTCACTAGGTCCGCAAAAAAAATAAAGTAGCGATTCGTCGAGGCAAATTTGCGATGTGGCTCTGGGTGTATTCGAGTGAGTGTGTGTGTGTGAGTGAGTGTGTGAGTGAGTGTGTGTGAGTGAGTGTGCACGCGTGTGTGAGTGTGTTTGTGTGTGAGTGTGTGTGCTTGTGTGTGAGTGTGTATGAGTGAGTGTGTGTGAGTGTGTGTGAGTGAGAGAGAGTGAGTGTGTGTGAGTGTGTGTGAGTTTGTGTGTGAGTGTGTGAGTGTTTGTGTGTGAGTGTGTGGGTGTGTGTGTGAGTGTGTTTGTGTGTGAGTGTGTGGGGGTGTGTGTGAGTGTGTGTGTGTGAGTGTGTGAGTGAGTGTGACTGTTGGCTCCAGCAGTCTGTTAAGGTTATAGGGGGGAGGATCTTTGTCTTTGTTGTGATCTCTGTGCGAACTCCGCACCCCCCCCTCTCCGTTATCGATGGTGGAGGGGTGATCGATCAACGTAGCTCTGCAGCAAATGATACCAAATAAACATTCGCCAACGACGCGTGAATTAGACCCTTGGTGAGGTCAGCAAATATAAAGTCGGCCCGATTTTTGTTCAGTGACAATACAAACACACACACATATATATAATCACGCGAGTTTGCCCATCCAGACCAATAGTGTTATTATAATAACATGTATAATATTACTACAATTACTATACATTTCTGGACCCAATATCACCTTGAACATATTATCTTGGTTATGTTTTTCTTTGGCTCATATCAGCTCGATTCAACTCGGGTTTGTTATCAGTTTCGATTGCTCATCAGCCGATGGGCTGAATGAAATACGTGTTCCTGGCGTGGCGACACGGAAGGGAGTTTTGGGTCTCTATTTACCACGGCAGCCCTTGGGATTGATTGCTCTGCGTACGCAATTAATGAGAAGCGAGGCCGTAACGAATTGCACCGTCGTCGACACCAATACAATGTCACGATTCGATCAATGTAATCGATTAACGTGGTTTTTTTTTGCAGCTATCATCGCGCGAGATGAACCCAGTAGTGACCGCAGTTCCCACCGTCGGCTGTGCGAACGAATGGAAATAATCGATGAAAAAATTATCGATGGAGGAATCGTGAATGTAATCGTCAAATTGCACCACACATCTCGCAAGTGTGTATATGTGCGTACATGATACGCAGATACACACAAATACATGCAAAGCCCCACCCCCCCTATAGTCTCCATCGTATGTTGGGGCAAGTGCTGTTATCCACCACCCATCAAAGCCGTCACGACGCCCGACCGCCTTTGTCTCCCCAAGTGGCGATGCTCACGTACGCCATGCCAGTTACGTGTACTGGTGTTAAGGCCGTGTCGACCTATACGGACGAGGCCGCAGGACACGTTCAAATATCACTCGCTGCGGCTGTAAATCGAACTTGTCCACAGCGTGTGCGGCGCTGTGCGCGAACCACTGCGTAGCCGCTCCCTCCGCACTCTCAACGAACTCATCATCATCATCAGCATGAGTATGTATCACACAACTCTGGTTTCTCCACTCGCACACGATCTCTCTCCAATCTACGTCGTGTCTTCTTGCAATTGTCCCGTTCATCTCTTCACTCGCTCTAAAATATGATCTCACTCTCTCACCCGGATCGCGCCTCCTGTCAATCCCGTATTCATGATTTTTGTTTTTTAAAATTTATCTTACACTGCCCCCCCCCCCCCGCGCTCTCACTCGCTGTCCCAAAGTGTTCTCTCTCTCTCTGGCTCACTCGCTTGCTCACTCACTCTCTCGCTCACTCTCTCACTCGCTCACTCTCTCGCTCACTCTCTCGCTCACTCACTCGCTCACTCTCTCGCTCACTCTCTCGCTCACTCACTCTCTCGCTCACTCTCTCGTTCACTCACTCACTCACTCACTCGCTCACTCACTCTCTCACTCACTCACTCACCCACCCACTCACTCACTGTCACGCATGCGCGCTCTTACTCTCGCTCACTCTCTGTGCCCCCCACCCAAAACTCTCACTTACATTCTCACTAACACAGTAATATCCTCACTCTCTCTCGCGTCACTCCTCTGCCTCTCCCGGCCGACCCAGCAGCTGTTCGCGCGGCGTGAACGCCACCGAGATATGCTTGGGCTTCAGGGAGAGACCGTACACGCCCTCCAGGCTCACGACGTGCCCGGGGGGCACGGACATGCTCAGCTGGTGGAGCAAGACGCTGCAGAAGAGGAAGAGCTGCATCTTGGCCATCTCGTAGCCGATGCACCTCCTCTTGCCCGACGAGAAGATCATGACCCGGCGCGCGATGTCGCGGTCGAGCGCCGCGCCCGTCTCGTCCAGGAAGCGACTCGGGTCGAAGCGCTCGGGGTCGCGCCAAATTGCCGGGTCGTGGTTGACCGACCACTGGTTCACGAACACAACGGTGCCCTTGGCGATGCGGTAGCCATTGAGCTCAGTGTCCGTCGTGGTGGCGTGCGGGATCGTGAAGGGCACGTAGCTCACGTGACGCATCATCTCGCACACGAACGCGTCGACGCACGCCAACTGCGGCCGGTCGTCCAGGCGTGGCAGCCGTTCGCGTCCCACCACGCGGTCGATGTCCCTCTGCATGTCGGCCTGAAGGTCCGGGTGCTTGGCGCACAGGAGCACGAACCACAACAGCGACGTGGACATGGTGTCCTGGCCGGCCCCGAACACGTCCGTGAGGGTGCTGTCCACGTACTGCGGCCCCAACTTCAGGGGCTCCTCGCGCGCACCGCCTCCAGCGCCACCAGCAGCGCCACCAGCAGCGGCGCCGGCCCCGTCTGCCGCGTCTCCCTCCTCGTCGCTGTCGCCGCCTCCGCCCTCGATGTGCCCGATGAGCGCGTCGATCATGTCGCGCGGGGTCGCCGCGGGGTCGTACGAGTCGCGGTGCTCCTGCACCTTGCGCTGCACGAAGGCGAAGAACTCGTTGTTCATCTGCTCGAAGTCGCGGTAGATGGAGCGCACCGGGTTGGGGAAGCGCATGAGCCACGGCATTACGTCCACCACGCTGCCGGCGCCCACCGTCTTGCTGAAGCGCTCGTTGTTGCTCAGGAGGTCGCGCAACTCGGCGTCGTCGTGCTCGTAGCGCTTGCCGAAGCACACCGCCGAGATGACGTTGGCCACGGCCAACACCGTCGGCTCGCTGGGGTCGACGACGCCGCCTCCCGCCCGGCTCGTCGCCGCCGCGAGCATCGCGCACAGCTCGGCTGCCTCGAGGCGCACGTGGCCCTCGAAGACGCGGCGGGTCGCCGCCGTGCCCGTGAAGAAGGCGCGCAAAGTGGAGTGCGCCAGCCGCCTGTGCATGCGCCACAGCTCGCTGTAGTTGGTGAACGACATGCTGTTGCCGCCCGACACGAGCGCGAAGGAGGGGAAGTCGGGCCGGCCCGCGAACTCGGTGCCGCGCTTGACCAGCGCCTCGCGGATGATCTCCTCGCCCGTGAGCACCACCACGGGCTCGTGGCCCAGGTGGATGCGGAACACGGGCCCGTAGCGCTGCGCCATGGCGGTGAGGGTCAGGTGAGGCATCGGTCCCAGCTGGAGGGAGTTGCCCACGATGGGGAACGCGAAGGGACCCGGAGGGTCGGGAGCGCTGTTCTTTTGCTGCTGCTGCTGCTGCTGCTGCTTCTGCTGATGAGAGCGGCCGTGCTTGCGAGCCTCCAGGGTGACGAGAAGGATGAGCAGAGCGGAGAGCAGGAAGAAGAGCACGGGAGGGTGCGAGATGTCCCACAGCTGGGCCCCGCTGCCCGCCGCTACCACGGGCAGCGCCTCCATGCTCTCGGCTGCGGTCATGGCAAGGCAGAGAGAGAGAGATGTCAGGCAGAGGAGATTCTCTCACTCGCAAACGTCGTGGGCTCGTTCATTCAACGCGCGCCAAGGGGAGGCGCCGTCTCTGCGACCTGATCGCTGGCACGAGTCCGCTCTGCTGCTGGCGATGATTACGATGATTGCTGGCGGTGATGGTTCGCTGATGGTACTTATGCTGCTGCTGCAACTGCTGAAGCTGCTGAAGCTGTTGCCTCTGCTGCTGCTGCTGCGACTTTTAAGTCGCGAGTGGCGTTGATCTGCGGGTGCCGCAGAAACCCACGTGTATTTATCAGCATGACCCCCCCCCTCCTGCATCGACTGCCCCCCCACCACCACCCATCCACTCGTCCCCTCCCTCCTCTCCCACCCCTCGCCACGATTGTGACCGCCACTCGGAAGGAGGCGAGCGAGGGGCGGGGCGGGGGGCGACTGCTGCCTCTGAAATTTTGCGAGGACGACCCAGCCCCCTCCTCCTGTGTTCTCTCCCCATCCTCCACACCTCCTACAGCCCCCACCCTCAGCCCCGCCACCCCCCACCCCCCAACCCCATTACCATCCCCTCCGCGTTCCAGGGCTGGGGGCACAGGGCTACGTGCAGAATCAGAGCCAGGGGAGATGGGGGGGGGGCTCCGTGTGTGTGTGTAGCGGTTAGCGCTACGCTGCACTACGAACCTGGCGACCCGGGTTCCACACATAAACACACACACACACAAACACACACACAAACACGCACACAAACACGCACACACACATAAACACACACACAAACACACACACAAACACACACGCACAAACACACACGCACAAACACACGCACACACACACAAACACACACACAAACACACACACAAACACGCACACACACACATAAACACACACACAAACACACACAAACACACACGCACAAACACACACGCACAAACACACACGCACACACAAACACACAAACACACACACACAAACACACACACACAAACACACACGCACAAACACACACGCACACACACACAAACACACACAAACACACACAAACACACACACACAAACACACACAAACACACACACACAAACACACACAAACACACACACACAAACACACACACACAAACACACACAAACACACACACAAACACACACACGCACGCGCGCCCTATGCGAGTCGCAGCGCGTGCACATCCCACGACCCGCGGGAACGAATCCCCCCGGAAAGTTGCTAGGGGGTCTCTTCCCCCTCCACCAAGGCCTCGAAATCTGATGACAAATTTCCCTCCCTCCCTCCCAACCACCCCCTCCAACTGCTTCAGCTTAGCACTTCACGAATTCGGAATTCCCCCCCCCCAACCTCTCCCCCCCCCTCTCCTCCACCATCCATATTTCCATGTTCGTATACACCTCGCTCGCTTCAAGAAACGATAACGACCACTTGAATGGCGCCGAGGCTTTCGAGACCAAATATCATCCACAAATTGGCACGTTCTGTTTACGTGGCAAACCTTACTAATTTTTCTGTGTCGGGTGGTGGCGGGTTTAACGACACATTTATATTCACGCCTTTGGGCCCTGCTGAGTAAAAACAAAGTCATCGTTCGGTTGTCCTTCCCCCGGCACTTCCGATTGGCACGGTTGGCTACGTACGATGCGAAAGAAGTTCGACCCTAATGCATCGTCATCATTATCACACCCCGACTTCTCGGCTCGACCAATCGTGTACACTGCTGGGACACCTCGCATAGCAGCGGAGTCGGGGTGTCAGTGGGTCTCTGTGTGTGTCTGTATCTGCGTCTGTGCGTGCTTGTGTAAGTGTACGTGTGTGTGGGGAGCTGTGGTGTAGCGGTTAGCGCGCTGTGCTACGAACCTGGCGACCCGAGTTCGATTCCCGCTCACTGCCAACACGGTCCTGGGCCTTGCCTAGGTCGACTCAGCCTCAAATGTGTACCCGGTGCGGTGTGTAAACATCGTCACCAGGGAGACAAAGGCTGCCGGCGTGGAGCTGATCACCCCTCGTGTGCCGTGCCGGCCTTCATAGGTGCTCGCTAACATCACTTGCCCCAACAGTCTGTGAAGGCTATACGGGGATCTTTGTCTCTGTAGTGTTCAGAAGTGAGTGTGTATGCCTTCACATGCGCTTGCTAGCAGCACTTGCCCCAACAGTCTGTGAAGGCTCTACGAGATATCTTTGTCTTTGTCGTGTTCAGAAGTGAGTGTGTCTATGCCTTCACATGTGCTTGCTAACAGCACTTGCCCCAACAGTCTGTGAAGGCTATACGGGGTATCTTTGTCTTTGTCGTGTTCACAAGTGAATGTGTGTATACCTTCATATGTGCTTGCCAACAGCACTTGCCCCAACAGTCTGTGAAGGCTATACGGGGAATTTTTGTCTTTGTGGTGTTCAGAAGTGAGTGTGTGTGTGCCTTCACATGTGCTTGCCAACAGCACTTGCCCCAACAGTCTGTGAAGGCTATACGGGGTAGCTTTGTCTTTGTCGTGTTCAGAAGTGACTGTGTGTATACCTTCACATGTGCTTGCCAACAGCACTTGCCCCAACAGTCTGTGAAGGCTATACGGGGTAGCTTTGTCTTTGTCGTGTTCAGAAGTGACTGTGTGTATACCTTCACATGTGCTTGCCAACAGCACTTGCCCCAACAGTCTGTGAAGGCTCTACGGGGTAGCTTTGTCTTTGTCGTGTTCACAAGTGAGTGGGTGTATACCTTCACATGTGCTTGCCAACAGCACTTGCCCCAACAGTCTGTGAAGGCTCTACGGGGTAGCTTTGTCTTTGTCGTGTTCACAAGTGAGTGTGTGTGTGCGTGTGTGCGTGGTTGCGTGCGATTGTGCGCTAGGATGGCGACGGATGTTTTTGGTGTGTGTGTGTGCGAGCGTGCGCCTGTGCGTGCGAGGTAGGTAAATAGTTCGCGTGAGTTCAGGGCTGTGACCCACCCACCCACTCACCCTTCCACCCACCCTCCCACCCACCCTCCCACCACCACGCCGTCGTCTCGCTGTTATCTCGCTCTGTAATCTCGCTCTCGTCCTGGCACGGCCACGCGCTTGGTGATTGTGCGCGCGCGCGAGCGCGAGCGTGGTCGGGGTGTCCTGCGCGCGCGCGCGCATCTTGCGGGACATTCTGGCGTTGCGAGTTCGATTCCAGGCCCAGGGGATAATCTGATTAATAATGGTAAATCGGGAATTGGCTTCCTTTAGGTCGACTTAGCATCTGAAAGCGTACCCGCTGCAGTGTGTAAACAACAATAAAATATCAGCACTCGGGAGAGACAAAGGCGGCCGGGTGTGTTAGTTGCTCCATTCCTTTTGTAGACCGTTCCGGCCTTAATAGGAACTCGCGAACAGCACTTTCCCCAACAATCTGTTATAATCAAGATTTTTATATTTAATGGAGGAGGGGGGGGGGGGGGGGAAGTTGTGATGTAGTGGTTAGCGCACTGCACCGCGTGCTTAGTTCGACGTTCCGGGCACAGCCAACATCAGCGGCGAGGCTGGATCCCTGACCATCCTCCCTCGACGGCGCCTTAATAGGATCGCTGCCGCCGTGTGCGCGCGTGCATTTGATGGGAGGTTAAGGGTCACCTTGTGCACAAAGCCCCGCGGGCTCCCGACGCCTCTAATCGAGATGGGGGACGCATTTTTACAGAGGGCTCAGCTTCGCCATGAGAACCATACACAAATGCAAATATCCCCCGGCGTTTTCCGTACCACGCTTTGGGGGCAAGTGCTGTTAGCGAGCAACTCTCTGACACGGCACACGAGGAGGTGGGGTGGCCGCTTTTATCTCCCCTCGTGGCGATGCTTACACACTTCTCATTTGAGGCCGAGTCGACCTAGGGGAGGAGGCCCAGGACCGGTTTAGATAATCGTCACTGGTGTTGGCCGTGAGCGCGCTAACCGCCGTGCCACCGCTCCCCTTCACCATGAAAACCAACTCAGCCCTGAACACACACCACCCACAAACACCATACACACACCAACACACACTACACACCCCACACACACACCACACACACCACACACACACACACCACACACACCACACACACACTGCACACACACCTACGCACACCACACACACACCACACCACACACACACCTACACACACCACACACACACCTACAGACACCACACACACGACACACACACCACACACCCCACACACACACCACACACACACACAGCACACACACACCACACACACCCCTCACAGACCACACACACACACCTATACACACCACACACACCACACACACACTGCACACACACCTACGCACACCACACACACACCACACCACACACACCACACACACACTGAACACACACCTACGCACACCACACACACACACCACACACACACCACACACACCATACACCACACGGTGCTGTGTGAGTGTAAATTGCCTGCCCCAGTTGGCAGTCGTTGTTGCAGCTTCATCGTTCACGGCGTGTCAAGGTAAAGGTGCAGCCCTGCAATTGCCTCCTAACGCGACACTCGAGCGAGCTTCGAGATCGAAAGCTTCTAGAGAGGATTTTGGCCAACCCATCCACGCATGGGAACATCCACACTTCAGAATCAGAATTTGTATTCAGACTGGAGGAATCCTATGAGCTATAAAGCGCTTTTATTTTCCCACAGATGTCCAGTCGGGTGCGGGGTAAGAACTTTCCAACCAACAACCTGTACAAAAAACACGATCGGAGTGGCAGATTGCTATAAAGGTTACCAAATCGCCCAAACGCACAACAAAAATAAAACTAAACCATCACCCATCCTGCCAGACAAAGCCCACCGCGGTATTAACTTTCTTTGTCAAAAGCCACCTGGCCACAAAGGATAGTTGAACAAAGTGGCCCACCATTTGGACATTTATAGCACTTCTACTCCCATGTGGACAGAACCGGGGTGTGGTGGTAAGGGGTGGCCGTGGTGGGGGGGGGGGGGGGGGTTAAAAAGTGCCCGTATTTTAAACTACCGCGCCAGAAGAACGCGCTGGTGACCTCTCGCTTGCAAGTTGCAGAGTTCAAACGACGACACCACGGCGGCGTCGACTCTGGTTTTTCACACACGGCCCGGATGATGGCCTCTCACCACGCCTTGTCGTTCATTGGGGGATTTTGTTTAACCATACTTCACCACGCTGGTCAGTGCGAATTGGTGAAGGGCGAGGCGTGGTTGCGGTGGGGGTGGAACCGGTGCAGATATCAACTCGCGTCACCGTGAATCGATCCCGCGCGGT